AAGAGTTCTCGACCGCCACGGCATGACTGACTGCGCACCGAAATACACTCCATTACCACCAGGGGTCGTCCTCAATAAATCCCAGGCACCCACAACGGACGAGGATAGGTCTTTCATGAGGGACAAGCCATACAGTGAGGTGCTCGGCGCCATTATGTACGCACAGATCGGGACTCGCCCCGACCTCTCTTTCGCTGTCGCCTCCCTCAGTCGTTACTCATCGAACCCCGGCAAAGCGCACTGGCAGGCCCTCACCCACGTCCTTCAGTATATTAAAGCGACGCTACACTACAAGTTACGCTATGGGGGCCCGGGTTTTGGTGACTACACCCCACACGGCTACGTTGACTCCGATTTCGCGGCCGACACCGACACACGCCGCTCAGTAACCGGTTTGGTTTTCCTCCAAGCCGGCGGTCCAACACTATGGGGAGCTAAATTCCAGTCCACGGTTGCCACGTCCACTACCGAAGCGGAGTACATGGCTATGGCACGAGCCGTCGAGCAAGTCCAATGGATGTATTCATCCCTCAACGAAATCGGCTACCCGCGCCCTCGTCCTGCCGCCATCCGCGCAGACAACAACGGCGCCATCTCCATCGCAGAGAATAAAAGAAACCACAACCGTGTCAAGCATATCGACGTGCGTCATCACTACATACGCGAGCGCATCGAGGCTGGAGAGGTATCCATCGACTACATCCCTAGTGCCGAAAATATCGCGGACCTATTCACGAAAGCGTTACCCCGCCCAGCGCACCACAAGTTCTGCGTCGCGCTACGACTCTGTGACCCCTGACGCGTCGCACGAATCCGGGGGAGTGTTGGAGATAGGATCGCGCGCACGCGTCGGGATCACGTGGTGCGTGCGTGACTAGAGGGCCAGGCTCGCTCTCGAGGGTATACGAGTAGGGGGAGACGGAAGCATTTTGGTACTGTACAGTTTTACATATATGGACGATCGGACGGACAGGACATACCTCAGTCGTTCCTACAACCGACTGAGGTATGTCCCTTAGTTTACCTACTTACTATACCGTGATACTTACCGCCCGTTCAGCTTATTCACAACAGGTACATAACAAATACATAAGTCGTTCCTACAACCGACTGAGCTTATTCACAACAGTAAGGGCTGCGGTTCATCTGGGCACGGCGAGCGAGACTGCATCAAGGACGGACGCGATACACGGAGCAAGGCCTAAGTACCTCCGGTACAACTTATGGCACGACGACGACACTCTTTCATTTTCGACTGCAGAATGGACCGAGCACGCCAAACCTCTTCCATCCGCGCCGTTATCCGAGCTTGCAAATCCTGTAGTCGCCAAAACTATTGCCGAAAACCCCTCCTTGTTCGCTATCATCACTCCTATCAAAGTCGACGTCTTCGAGCGTCTCCTCTCCACACATCCGAATAAACCTTTCGTTGCATCAGTCTGCCGTGGTCTCAGGGAAGGGTTTTGGCCATGGGCCGACACCCAATTCGGCGTCTATCCCGACACGGTAGATGAGTCGTTCCCTACTCCTATTGATCTTCGCGAGGCGAACTTCCTGCGTAGCCAGCGGGATACTGAACTGAAGAAGAATCGTTTCTCCCCTTCGTTCGGTGACCACCTCCTGCCAGGCATGTACTGCATGCCCATCCATGCCGTACCCAAATCTGATTCTGACGACCTGCGTATGGTTACCAATCAATCTGCGGGTCGTTACTCTCTCAACTCCATGATCCCACGCGAGCGTATTCGTGGTTATCCCCTCGACAATATGCGGCATTTGGGTGACGAATTACTTTATCTCCATAGTTCATCCCCCAACTCCACTTTCTCCCTATTCAAATCCGATGTCGCCGAGGCATATCGCTTGATGCCTGTCCATCCATTTTGGCAGATCAAACAGGTGAACACGATCGATGGCAAACGCTACATCGATCGGTGCAATGCTTTCGGTGGGAGAGGTTCGGGGTGCATTTGGATCGCTTTCATGGGCCTCGTCGTTTGGATCGCCCGCTATGTGCGATTCATCGAATTCCTGCTCGCATATTCCGATGACAACTTCGCCCCATGCATACTCGACGACACTTCACTTTATCCCCCTTACAACAAAATCATCCCAACCAACCAACGCGACCTCCTCCTCCTTTGGGACGAGCTCGGTATCCCCCACAAGGAACGTAAGCAGGTTCATGGGTCGCCTCTCACCATCATTGGGATTTCCGTCGACCCTAACTCCTTGACGCTCACGCTTCCCCTCGAGCGCAAGGTCGATCTCCTCAAGGAAATCGAGAAGTTCACAGACTAGACCAACAAACGGAACCCCCGTTTCGCCTTGAAGGTTTGGCAACGCCTTTCGGGATGGCTAAATTGGAGTTTCAACGTCTTCCCGCTCCTTCGCCCCTCCCTCGCTAATGTATACGCCAAAATCAATTCCAAGACTGCTCAAGGCCAGCTCATTCGCGTCAACGCCCTTGTTCGAGCTGACCTCACTTGGGCGGCTCAACATATCGCGCAGTCTTCGGGCGTTCACATCATCTCGGCTCTCGATTGGGATATCGACGACGCCGATATGTATGTTTATTGCGACGCTTGCCTCGACGGTATGGGTTTCTGGTTCCCTGCCCAGAAGATGGCGTACTATGCACCCGTTCCTACCAACCCGCCTGCCGACTGCATCTTTTTCTTCGAGGCGTTTTGCGTCGCATGCGCATTATTCGAGGCCTCTCGTTGGCCCGACCGCGCCATGCGCCTGGTCATCTATACCGACAGCTCTAACACTGTCGCCATTTTCAACTCTTTCCACGCCCTCCCCAGCTACAACCCCATTCTAAAATTCGCCGTTGACATCCTCCTGCGAACATCCCACCAGCTTCGTGTTATCCACGTCCCTGGCCACCAAAACCTTGTCGCCGACGCCGTCTCCCGAGCCCATTTCGACAAGGCCCGAGATCTTTGTCCAGATCTATATATCAAGGACGACTTTCAACCCCCTCAAGTTTTGCTGGGGGCATTCCAAAAATAGCCATCGAGCCCATTCGTTCCCGCCAGCCCCTCCGGGCGGCGTGGAGCATGGAGCGCCTCGTCCGCGAACGGGCGATCGCGCTCGGCCAGGCTATTGATAACTCTACAGAACGCAACTACAACTCGGCTCTCAACTCTTATTTAGAGTTCATTCGCATCCACAACTTCCCTCTCGACCCCACTCCCGACACTCTCAGCTTTTTCACGGTCTTCATGTGCCACCACATCCAGCCTTCATCCGTCGGCTCCTACTTGTCCGGCATCTGTAACCAGTTAGAGCCTTACTTCCCCAACATTCGTGAATATCGCAACTCCACCCTCGTCACGCGTACCCTTTCCGGCTGCATGCGCCTTCGCGGCACTCCCACTTCCCGCAAACGGGCGCTTACACTTGAAGACCTCGACATCGTCATTCGTCACTACTCTACCTCCCAACATCACGACGACCTCCTTTTCGTCGCCATGCTTCTCACGGGCTTCTTCGCCCTCCTCCGCTTGGGCAAAATCGCCTATCCTGACGAAATCGCTCTTCGCGACCCCAGGAAAGTCGTTCGTCGATCGTCAGTCCAATTCACTCACTCCGACTTTCGTTTTTTCCTGCCAGGCCATAAGGCCGACAGGTTCTTCGACGGAAATTGGATTGTCATCCGTAGAGAAACTTCTTCCCGCGACCCCTTGACTGCTTTCTCCAGCTACCTCAGCTCTCGTGACAGGAACTTCCCGTTTAGCTCCCCACTTTGGCTTCGCGGTAACGGCCAAATCCCGACCCGTTCCTTCTTCATCTCCCGCCTTCGCCAATTCTTCGACGACGACGTCGCTGGTCAGTCTATGCGCGCGGGGGGTGCTACTTCCCTCGCCGCCAACGGCGTTCCTCCCTCTATCATCCAAGCCATCGGCCGTTGGTCATCCGAATCCTTCCGGATCTACATCAGGAGGAGTCCCGTCATGCTCCAAGCCATGCTTTTCGCAAGAACAACTCATTCCATTTCCTCTTTCATTCATGATTAATTCCTCGAGCTCCTTTTCCTCCCCTTTTGCCAAACCTTTTCGCCTAATTCGTCCACCTTTCCCATTCCGAACTCTTACGCATAATTCAACCCCACGTCTCTCGCCGTTTCAAAAGTATTTCTCGTCTATCTCCTCAAAAGTATCACCTACCTCAAAAACGTTCCCCCTCCCTCAAAAAGTAGCTCCAGCTACGTATCTCTTTCTTTCTCTTTTATTTTCCCCTTCTTCTTTAACTTCTTTACCTTCTTCTTTGTATTTTTAATCACTCCTCACATCGTCCCTCATCTTCTATAGTATTTAGCCCTACCGTGATACAAAATACACATAAATTTGATCGGGCGTGGGCAGGCTACAAAGTCGCCTGCACCCGGTCCCTCCTATACATCTTATCCGTCTCCTCGTTGCGCCTCAAGCACCCAAGTTTCATTGGTCGGGTTTAGACTTTGTTTACGCAAGTCCAATGATAACGTCCAAGGGTCTGGTTCACAGCAACGCCACCATTCAACACCTACATACAAACGCGCCGCGCGTTTTTGGGGTATGGCGTCGATCGTTGGGCGGTGCGTGATCGTGATGAAACCTTTCACCTATAGAAGAGGGAGCCGTCATATGAGACTTCCCCCGGGGATCTCTTCTTGACCGTTCCTCCCTCTTCTCGGTGAGTTCATACACGTTCCCTTCTCGAGGGATATCTTCCTGATCATTCATCCCTCGTACACTCAGTCACAGACCCTTGGTCTTTTTCTGTCTCCCACCCACCCACATACCTGTTTTTTATTTCATTTTGTATCTGTTGCCCTACCGTGATACAAAATACACATAAATTTGATCGGGCGTGGGCAGGCTACAAAGTCGCCTGCACCCGGTCCCTCCTATACATCTTATCCGTCTCCTCGTTGCGCCTCAAGCACCCAAGTTTCATTGGTCGACATGCAGAAGAAAAAGCTGAAAAAAGGTGAACGTGATACGACACTATAGCAGCAACTTGTTTCGATCAAGTGACCTCGGGGTTTCATGTGGTATGGGCCCCGCGCGCTTCCAACTGCGCCATGCTGCTGTGCGTAATAATTTGGTTTATGTGGTCCACCTTGGCAGAGGAAATGTATGGAGAGAATTGTGCCAGAGGGCGATCCTCCCATCCTAGCGGGCGCGGCTTTCAAGGCGATGGGTATACTGGACTTCATGCTCTATTCTGGATGCTTCGAAAATTTGAGTAGGATAGCACAAGCCAAGAATGGTTTGAAAAAAGGGGGTGGACAGCGATAGCATTGGAGATCGATGATAGAGGCATAACATGAATATAGGAAGTCGTCCAGAACGTTGTGTATCACCCTTTAAGGATGGCATCGATGCTGCTGGCCATTAGGAGAGGGCTTAAATCAAGACTGATAATGAGACGACTCGTGATCAAGTTCAATACTGGGAGATAGTTGGCCAAGAGGAGGCGACTCACATTGCCAGATAATTAGATATGACCACATAACTTCGCCGTTTACTGATAGTTTGAGGCAAGGTTGCACATGTACAGTAGCCGGACAAATGGGACGCAGCGGGCAAGGTGATTATAGTTATAGATTTACTGCAGATGAGTGGCATGGTTGGACAATGGCAACGCAGATTTCCCAAAAAGGAAAGATGACACGAGACGACACGTCGCTTCGCTGTTTAACAAACTCTCACCAAGTCCATGCCCACCCTTGGTCACCTCTAACCCTGTCCTCCTCCTCCTCCTCCCACACCATGGCTCCCCCCAGAAAAGTAGCAAAAACCAACGGCCGTGACGCCCGCACACCCAGCCCAAGCCGCCCAGGCGCAGCCTCGTCATCGGCCGCGTCCTCCCCGGAGCGACCAGCAGGGCCCCTCAGCATCCCTGTCCCACCCAAAGACCGCGAGGTCGTCAAAGTCAACAACGCGAACCCCATCGACCTCAAGCACGCCTGCGACGATGCCCTGAAACGCGTGAGTACCCCTCCTCCCCCTAGCGGTGCTTAAACGGCGCGAACTGAATGACCCCTTGGTAGTACCTTGCCCGGCCCGACTTGTTCAAGCAGATCCACCTGCACACGGATGTACGATTAGCGTTGGGGTGGCTTAGCGTGTTTGTGGCTGCTGGGACGGCGTTGTATGGATATAAAGTCGAGTTTGAGAAATCGAAGCCGGTGGTGTGGGCAGGGCTGGCGCTGTGAGTCTATCTTTGTCTCAGCGAATTCTAAAGTCTGATTTGGTGGCGACATAGCTATATCGCCCTCACAGCTATTCAGACACTCTATGCGTATTTCATTGAAGGCGAGATCGTGTTTGTTGGCAAGCGAAAAACATTTTCAAAGAGGGTGCGTTCATTCACATCACATCTTGAACTTCCGTTATCAACCTCATTTTCAGATAATCACGGAAAGAATAACCATATCCTCTACTACCAAACCCGTGAAGAAGATCAACCCCCCTCAATACTCCCTTTCTCTACACTACGTACGGTCCACCAGCGGTGGCAAATCTCTGTTGGCTAAAGGCAAGACGCAAGGAGCCAAGGAGTACAACGCTTTCTTTGATGAGCAGGGTACGCTGGATCAGGAGCGGTTTGAGCAGTGGGTAGGCGAGCTGGTGGAGAAGACGATGGAGGGCAAGACATCATAGGCTTCTCTTGGATTTTTTTGGGCTCATGTGATTCGTATCCGTCGCTCTGTTTCTGTAGTATGTTCTGTCGCGGGGTTCTCCATATCCTTTATATCACAAAAGACTTCAGAACTTTACCATCCGCACCATGATAGCGACCCCCTACCATCCTCCCTTTTCTTTATTACCCCGGTTTCTTATTTATCACCAATCATGCACTGAAACACCGACATGCATATAGTCCTCCGGTGTCAAAACCGACGGCGTCACCCATGCGCAGGTGTTATGCACTCTCCTCACGCAGGCATTTTTTACAACACACCCATTCATTGATTCTGCCAGCCTACCTGACACTAGGTAATATGAATGTCCTAAAATACAATTGTACGACTCATGTATGCGGGTGTAAAACCATCAGCACCCAAAAAGTCCATGCCTTTCCCAAATTCAATAGTCCTTCAACGCTCAACATTTGTCGACAACTTTCCCACCCGCAGCGATGGTCTTATCCACTTTCGCAGCCGCATCCGCCACAGCAGCCGTCACCGCAGGATCAGTCCTAACAAACGCACCAATCAGGGACCCATCAGCCACAAACCCTTTTCATGTACAGTAGGGAAGAGAGGACGTACGAAGTGATCCCAGCGAGCGCCGTCTTCGCCGCAGTCAGCCCATCTTCCGTCTGGGTACGCGCAGCCGCAGACGGCGCCTGGCCAGCGACGATATCCTTCGCGATGGTCGCGATTCCGGCTTTGGCGCTGTCGAGACCGGTTTTGGCGGTGGCGGCGGCATCGGCGGCAGCGGGGTCACTAGGGAGGGAAGATTTAGCGATGGTAGAAGGAGGATTGGAGGGCAGATGGGGGAAGGGTGACTCACGCGGCGGCTGCAGTAGTGACCTTCGCGAGAGCCTTGCTAGACGCAGCGAGGCCGGCTACGGTCTGCACGCGCGCGACGTTGCACCCGATCCCACCCAGGGCCTTGAGGAATTGGCGTTTCTCTATCAGACACAAAAGTAAGATTGAGCAAGGGAGCGACGACGCGATGGAGGAAGGGGTTACGTACCGGATTGGTTCTTGGTGTTGGGTGTTTGGGTCTTGGTCTGCTTGGTGGGCGCGAAGGGCGGGGTGCCGGGTGGGGTGCCGGCGGGGTCGACGTTGTCGCCTGCTGTGGTGGGCGCGAAGGGCGGGCTGCCGGGTGGGGTCTTGGTCTGCTTGGTCGGCGCAAAGGGGGGTGTGCCGGGTGGAGTGCTGGGTGGGGTGCCAGGTGGGGTGCCGGCGGGGTCGACACTTTCGCCTGCTGCTGGATCGGCGGCAGCAGCGTCTGTGGCAGCGGCATCGGCAGCGGTCGCAATGGCGGTAGCATCAGCAGCAGCGGTCGCAGTAGCATCAGCAGCAGCCGCATCACCGCATTGAGCCACCTGCTTCCCGTTTGCGAGCGCCTCTGCAAGCTTCGCTTTGGCCTTTGCTAGAGGTCCTGCAGCTGCGCCTCCTTTCGCCCTGCACGAAAAGGGGGGTGTTGAGCTTAGGAACACCAGATGAGGAGAAGTGTACTTACGCCTTGATTTGATCGAGCACGCTTTTCGCGGCGGTCAGGCCTTGAAGACCCTTAGCTCCGAGTCCAGCGCCAGCAGCCTTCGCGGCGACCTTGTTTCGGATCGCGGACGCGATCCCCTGGAACGCGCCGCCGGCATCCTGGAGCCCGGCTTGGGCTTCGTTGACAGCATCAGCCATCGTAGCGTCACTGGATCAGCTAATGGTCAGATCCCGAGTCTTTGGGTTCTAGGTAGGGCTAGGTTGTGCTTACTTGCCGTTGACGGCCAATGTAGCCATGGTGTCCAGTGCATCGTTGGCCGCTTGCATGCTTGCGGCGGTCTTGAGGCTGGCCAGACCACATTGTGCTTTACCCAAAGGCGCTGCGTAGCGGAAATCCTTTAATGATGGGGCGCAACGGGAGGCTGTCGAGAAATACATACCAGCCTGGGCACCGAAGTCACCAGCGGCCAAAGTCAAAGCGAGCAAGCACACAGTGACGCGCATTTTAGAATGTAAATGGGGGAGGTAATCGGAACGAAGTGAATGACAAGGAAGAATTCAGAAAGCTGGCTGAATGGCTGATGAGAACGAAATGAGTCGACTCAGTAAAGACACCAGGTCTGGTTCGAAGGGAACAAAGAAAGGACGAGACACAGGTCAGGAAAGGAAGGCTAAGGGAAGGGCGGGCGAGGAATCGAAGCCCCCTCCCCTCTTGGATTTATAGGCCTCAGGCCTCTAGTGGTCGAGCTTCTTCAAATGAATAGCTTATGCAGTGCTTGAGAAGTCGCTACAGGCTGACATGGCGTAACTGGGGTTTCGAGGCTGGTTTTAGACGACTGATATGATGGATATTACGGTCGTAGGATGATGGCGAAGGCATAGTCGGAAAATCCCACCAGACTTGACGGGTGGGGGCGAATCACAAGTATTCAACTGTGTGAAGTGTTACCAAGGGAAAAAGAACTCGTGATTCGAGCCAAAACTCCTGGTAGCAGTTGTACAGACTTGGGAGAAGGTAAATTTGTCATAGAGGCTCTCTTAATCCGATGGGCTAGACTGATACGCCCTGGCGTTTGCGCGTTACCTCGAACGAGCCCCCAAAGCAAACAGACACCGAGGAAGAAAGCAGCCACGGCGCTTCGATCCCTTCTAGTCCAGTTAACCATACCGCACTGGGAGCAGGATGATTCAACGCCCATAGTCGGCATCGCTGGGTCTACCTGTCAAGGGGCGTCTCGGCTGTCATTGTTTCCACTTCTCGAGGACATAGAAGGTATCCAGTGAAGCATCGATTATACATAGTTCAGGGTGACGCAAGGAATCAAGCGATCAAGATACGGTCAAGTTGGAATGATGCAACGAGTGCGGAGACCGGGGAAAATGGACAGAAGCAAAGACACACACTAGGGTAAGTTCACGACTCATCTTGTGGTGCGGCTTTCTCCGGTATCGTAGGCTTGTGGAATCGTGTCCCCTATATGGGGACGTAGATACACTGAAATGGCACGAACCGAAATAAACAAGCGAAGACTCTGTTTATTGAGCGAATACGGGTGATCTCGAGATATGAGAGAGTGAGAGAGAGAGAGAGAAGAGGGAAAGAAAGATAGGTAAGGATATGTGCTGTTCTGGCGCCCTTTTATAGGAAAAGGGCTACTCTGTCTAAACCTAAATCCAAGAGAGTCGGGAGGACATCGGGAGCCCATATCGACGATGGGCGGGCGGGTCGGACGAGTCGTTAGTCGAATCGGAAATGGTGACGTCGTATGTCGGAAGTGCTGAATGTGGTAACCGTAGGCTTACACCCCTCCCCATCCAAAAAAAATGAGAACCATGTCAGTAAGAAAATGAAGAGGTTATTCAGGAAGAAGGGATGGTAGGTTATAAAAATAAACTGCTCGCGCGGGTGCGT